CAATGTTATAAAAAAGCTAAGTTCACTTTATGCATAAAATGGCGACAGGGCTTGTCCTTATATTAATTGATAAACTATCACCCTCTTTCCTATTTCATATATCAAAATTCAGAAGAGACTTAGTGTTTTCATTTCCTATATCAAAATTTCTTTTCGGCTTTTAGAAATTGAAATGTTTTTGAAATTTGCAGAAAACATGCGTATTTGTCTTCCTTCGACAAATATTAAAATATGAGCACAGCCAAAGATCCAAAAATTAAAACATGCTTTTACATCTTACATTATGTAATTGCATATTGTGGATCAGGGTTGTCCTCTATATGATGTATTGAATCAAAGTACTCAGAAGTACAGAGAGCTGGGCTCATTTACAGAGTAGAATGGATTTCTTACATGAATCACGTTTATATTCTGATGAAAAAAATATTTTAAAACTATCAATATAAATGATAAGACACTGACAGTGAGTTTTTCAATCCTTATACAACGGTCCGATTTTGTCACAATCAGAATTAATCTTGTACCGCAGCTGAACGTAAACAAACAGGCCTGTCTGGTTCCCTCTCCTGCTTTACCTTGTTTGTGTATAGAACTACGGTAAAACTGATTATCAAAAATTCTTACGCTAATGAACTATGTTCTTTGGCTTATGAAGTTTTCAAAGTTTTCAAAGTCATTACTCCTAATGTTTATTTTTGTTGCTTTATTTAGCGTTTTAATTATCTCAAAAGCGGTTGAGAGTAAGAACTATATCTTTGCACGTAACTTTGAAATGGGGTTAACATCCTGCCTTGAACAGGATCACATAAGCCGGAAATTGCTCTTTGAGCAATAAGCCCGGCTAAAAATTGCTTCAACTTTAGGCCAATTTCAAACAAACGTACGGATTATTCGGAAAATGTCGCATTTTGTGACGTCATAATGCATTGAAAAGAGAAAAAATTATGTCATTAATCCCACCGCAGGACTTGGATCTTCGGATGAGACTATATTTACTAAGGTTCCGGGTCCCAGTATGTACTGGCTCGAAAAAGATCCCTTTCTGCTCAATGGGTGCCGAATAAAGGTAAAAAAAAATTGAAGCTCTCCGCCGGAAAATGGTGGCATTTCCATATAAGTCAAAAATTCTCGAGAGGAACGTTAATCAAAATACAATCAATCAAACATTTATCGAATTAATGTAATAATTAATTTCAATCAGTACTTTCAGTACTTTGATATATTTTAAGTAAGTGGGTTTTCTGCACGCAAAATTCGCCCATCTCCCTTTTTTAAATTAAACAAAATATAGTATAATGTGCGAGAAAATATGGTACTAGAAAAATGTAGCAGCAGTAGGTCAAATATTATCATGATATGGGTTGTTAGTAAGATATGTCCATTATACAAAGGCGAAAAGACAAATATATTTGTGTTACGAAATACATAGCAATAAGCCAGAATCTTATTATACTAAGGGGCGATAAATCAGTTTTTACCGTAATAAGGGGCGAAAGGGTCTGGGTTATCCAATTATTTTCCTCCATGGATTTAAATTCAGCTAAATATCCATTATAACTCTCACATCTCTCCTGTAATTTTATATTACATGTATTAGTTGGTGTGTAAAACCCAAGTCACATTTCCAAAAACGACCAACTGCCGACGGGTTTTGAAGCAAAAATGGGGTTTTCGGGTGACAGTCGTCAGTTCATCGGCCATTGTCTTGCCCGATTTTGACCTCTTTTTTGTCGTCCGACCAATTTTGTGTCTGTCGATCCAAGTTATAATTTTTTAAGCGTCGGTGGCCGATTCCTTCAATTGAAAATATCCGTCGACCAACCTTCGATCATTGTCCGATCATCGGTGGTCAGTTTATTCGGTCGTCCGTCGTTGGACAATAATGGTGTTTAAAATTTCGGCCGACGCTTAAAATCAAACTGTAGCGCAGAGCTCGATGATCGGACAATGAATGACCGACTTGTGAATATTTAACCTAGTAAGGATACATAACAGAAACAAAATTTTGATGCATGGATTGATATAGATTTTTTGAACGGTAATAACATGAACAATTAATCAGTAAGATATAAAGAAATCTTAAGTGGGGATCCGGGTTAGAATAGGTCCTCAGTATCTCCTTGCTTGTCGTAAAAGGCGACTAAATGAGGCGGTCCTTCGGATGAGACCGCATAAACCGAGGCCCCGTTTCACAGCAGGTGTGACACGATAAAGATCCCTCCCTGCTCAAAGTCCATAAGTGCCGAGCATAGCCTAAAGTTGCAGCCCTTCACCGGCAATGGTGAGGTCTCCATATCAGTGAAATATTCTGGAGAGGGGCGTTAAACAGTATACAATCAATCAATCCATCCATCATCTTGTCCGAGTATAATCACGGCCGGGAAATTAATGTCTACAGATACATGTAAAAGTTAGCTAAATAACCATCATAATAATCATAATACAAAAGACACATAAGTATAGAATATTTTGCATTAGAAATTTAAAATACAAGTGTTTTATTCAATACGTTAACAGACAATTGTGAATTTAAAAAAATCCGATATTTCACTCAGAATCGCCTTGGCACTCAAATGCATGTATGGTTGTTTCCAGGCTTGGGGTCAATTACTTTGAAATGTAATTAATTACTTTCAAATACATTGATAATTTTGTCAATTACTTGCAATTACAATTACATTGATTTTTTCAAATGTAATTAATTACTTTCAATTACTTTGGCAAATGTAATTAAATACATTTCAATTACTTGAGTTTTATTTTAAAAAAAAAAGGAAAGATTTTTTTAGTAAAAATTAGATTTTTTCTATAGTGAATTTTTATTCGGTGTTTTTGTTCTTGGATATGACAGGGGTTCACACCTGGACCAATTTAGACCTTTACCTATAATGACTTGGGCAGTGTGACACACTGTATAAACAAATTAAATTAAACACTATGAGACACTTAATTATTGTACAAACACAAGCCAATGCTACACCAGCATGGTGTATGACAAGAAGTTTGTTACTTTCTTGAATTCATATTTTTGAATAAAATAAATTAATATTTCTCACAAATCTATTCAGTATCTTACTATCTTAAAATGTATGGAATACTTGCACATGTAAATCTTAAAGGGGATGTAGTTAGTCTAATAACTGTAAAAACAAATTAACTATCTAAACCATCTATTGTTACTTTCGAGTGGGAACAGGTAGAACTGAGATTTTCAAAAAGTGGGAATAGGTAGTATATATCCACCAGTGTAAAAACTGTGTATCAGTATATAACTTTTTTATAAACTTTTATTTTGAAAAAAGTAATTGAAATATAATTGAAAAGTAATTGAAAATACATGACCTTTTTTGAAATGTATTTAAATACATTCATTTACTTGTAATTGAAAGCTCACTCAAATACAAATTACTTCCAATAACTTTGAAAAATGTAATTAATTACACTCAATTACAATTACTTTATTCAATTACCCCATCCCTGGTTGTTTCAACCGGGTACAATGAAATTAATATATTCTATAAGTAGTAGCTTTATTTTCTTAAAACCACATCATTTTATTAGTTAAAAGAATAAGCATATTTACTTTATAAGTAGACTAATTTTATATTAAAACCTCACGCGTTCGGTATCAATATATATGTTTTACGGTAATTCTAATTATGTCTTTAAAATATAGAATTAAAACAAAGGTATGTGCAGAAAAAAATGTTTTTATTATTTATTTATTTATCTATTGTTTATTTATATTTTAGCACCTGAAATTATAGAATAACAGAATAATTTCAATGCAAGGAAAAGATCGGAGGCATTCCGAATAAATCGTTCATCTTGTGTTCACCGTTCACTTTGCACTCACCGTTCACACATCGTTCACCAAGTTGCGTTCAGCTTTTGCACATCCTTCACTCACCGTTCGCTCTGCGTTCGTTCACCGTTCAGGTCGGGAAGTGTAGAAATATAAGCGTTTAAAATTCAAATTTCATGATTCACATCATTTTGATAATGTAGAGTTATTTCCCTTGAATATAAAAGAGAAAAAAATACTTGTATAAGTAACATACCTTATCATAGTCTTCCTGTGCGCTGTATACCCAGTCTAAAGTGTTTATATATCTGTCTGTAGAATCCGTTATGGTATAACCGATAACCATCTTCTTATAGTTTATCTCACAAAATTTCTCTTCAGACTCTCCTGTACACAGTCTAGAATGCTATATCTATATTTGGATCAACTACAGTCTCCTTCAGCTCATACCCGTATTGAAGTCTGTTGTAGCCTTGATGTAGAGTGTATTGAAGTCTGTTGAAGCCTTGATGTAGAGTGTACTGAGGTCGAGCCTTATGTAGTGATGCTTGCTGAGCCTTGATGTAGAGGTAATCAAGTGTTTGTTGTAGCCTTGATGTAGAGTGTACTGAAGTCTGTTGTAGCCTTGATGTAGAGTGTACTTGAAGTCTGAAGTCTGTAGCCTTGATGTAGAGTGTACTGAAGTCTGTTGTAGCCTTGATGTAGAGTGTACTGAAGTCTGTTGTAGCCTTGATGTAGAGTGTACTGAAGTCTGTTGTAGCCTTGATGTAGAGTGTATTGAAGTCTGTTGTAGCCTTGATGTAGAGTGTACTGAAGTCTGTTGTAGCCTTGATGTAGAGTGTACTGAAGTCTGAAGTTGTAGCCTTGATGTAGAGTGTACTGAAGTCTGTTGTAGCCTTGATGTAGCGTGTAATGAAGTCTGTTGTAGCCTTGATGTAGAGTGTACTGAAGTCTGTTGTAGCCTTGATGTAGAGTGTACTGAAGTCTGTTGTAGCCTTGATGTAGAGTGTACTGAAGTCTGTTGTAGCCTTGATGTAGAGTGTACTGAAGTCTGTTGTAGCCTTGATGTAGAGTGTACTGAAGTCTGTTGTAGCCTTGATGTAGAGTGTAATGAAGTCTGTTGTAGCCTTCATGCAGAGTGTACTGAAGTCTGTTGTAGCTTTCATGTAGAGTGTACTGAAGTCTGTTGTACCCTTCATGTAGAGTGTACTGAAGTCTGTTGTAGCCTTGATGTAGTGTACTGAAGTCTGTTGTAGCCTTCATGTAGAGTGTACTGAAGTCTGTTGTAGCCTTGATGTAGAGCGTACTGAAGTCTGTTGTAGCCTTGATGTAAAGTGTAGCCTTGATGTAGTCTGTTGTTGTAGCCTTGATGTAGAGTGCACTGTTGTAGCATTGATGTAGAGTGTACTGAAATCTGTTGAAGCCTTGATGTAGAGTGTACTGAAGTCTGTTGTAGCCTTGATGTAGAGTGTACTTGATGTAGAGTGTACTGCCTTGATGTAGTAGCCTTGATGTAGAGTGTATTGAAGTCTATTGATGTAGAGTGTAGCCTGAAGTCTGAGCCTTCATGAAGAGTGTACTGAAGTCTGTTGTAGCCTTGATGTAGAGTGTACTGAAGTCTGTAGAGTGTACTGAAGTCTGTTTTACCTGGATGTAGAGTGTACTGAAGTCTGTTGTAGCCTTGATGTAGAGTGTACTGAAGTCTGTTGTAGCCTTGATGTAGAGTGTACTGAAGTCTGTTGTAGCCTTGATGTAGAGTGTACTGAAGTCTGTTGTAGCCTTGATGTAGAGTGTACTGAAGTCTGTTGTAGCCTTGATGTAGAGTGTACTGAAGTCTGTTGTAGCCTTGATGTAGAGTGTACTGAAGTCTGTTGTAGCCTTGATGTAGAGTGTACTGAAGTCTGTTGTAGCCTTGATGTAGAGTGTACTGAAGTCTGTTGTAGCCTTGATGTAGAGTGTATTGAAGTCTGTTGTAGCCTTGATGTAGAGTGTACTGAAGTCTGTTGTAGCCTTCATGTAGAGTGTACTGAAGTCTGTTGTAGCCTTCATGTAGAGTGTACTGAAGTCTGTTGTAGCCTTGATGTAGAGTGTACTGAAGTCTGTTGTAGCCTTCATGTAGAGTGTACTGAAGTCTGTTGTAGCCCTTGATGTAGAGTGTACTGAAGTCTGCTGTAGCCTTGATGTAGAGTGTACTGAAGTCTGTTGTAGCCTTGATGTAGAGTGTACTGAAGTCTGTTGTAGCCTTCATGTAGAGTGTACTGAAAGCTATTGTAGCCTTCATGTAGAGTGATGCATAAACGCAGCGAAATAATGCTGTAGAGGCTCAGATGGATCGATGCCAGGTAATGACATCATTGCAATGAAAGTGGGAAATTCAAAGTTAGTACAAACTTCTTTTGACGCAATAAAAAAATGAAATCTGAATATTTCTTAACTGAGGTATGATAAATGAAAATTTGAAATGGTTTTCATGCGAATACATTACATACTTTCAATGAAATTGATAGCCTTTGTTCATTTCATTAAACAGGCTACACTATGAATATTATTAAATGATTAATTGGGTAGCTGCAAATTTTTTTATACTGTATATCTAATTATTGATTTGGAAGGACATCTGAGAACAATTGCTTAGGTTTACACGTTCATACTCATCTACCCATATAGATTTCAGCAGCAGTTACTAAGTACAGATGTGTGCCAAAAGTGATGGTAATTCTTATTTTATCTCAATATATTTCATTGGAAATATCATTTTGTAAAATGACTGGTATTGAAACATTTCTTGAAAGGATTTATCACAAATTTCTCAATAGTCCAAGAATTGCTTAGTTGATAAAGACTATTTAGCATTGAAATTAAAAAATAATATTTTGTAATTTTCAATCCACATCCAAACATTGAATAATATAGCCAACATTGATTTTGAATGTTAGAACTGATGTTAAGTGGTAAACTATCTTTTAACAGAAAAAAAAAAGTAATGGTCTCCTTTCCTTATAAAAGATATTGAATATAATAGTATACAATAAATATTATAACATATAATTTAAATGACATCAATACTAATTTGCATATGAAACTCGGAATACAAAATACTGCCAATCAAATTGAATGATTGTTTCCCTACTGAATGCCAATGTATGATTATTATCAATTTAGAAATTTGTTAAATGTATCTACCAAGCGTTAAAAAATCTAAATCCTTGCCTGAAAATTAAATGCAAAGAACTAGCTTAGTTGAAACAGACAGCGAAACTTGTGAAAAACATCAAGTATTGTTAAGCCTTACTACGAAGAAATCAACGAAACGTAGACGTGCAAAAATGAGAACTATATAAATCTGATTTTGCTTTTTATATAGCGTTTTTATTTTCACATAACCTAAACATTGAAATAACATAGTACACTCTATTCTGTACTAAATTTAGTGTAGTCCCATCGATGGACAGTCACGTGATAAAAACAAAGTATGTGTACTTAATAGAGGTCATGAACAAGTTTCTATGTAGGAAGGGCATGCCCTGTTTTACATTAATAATTCAAATAATCAATAATATCTGCATTCTTTGTACTTTAAGTATTACGTGTGTTCCCTTGCAAAAAGGCGTACCAATAAGGCACCTCGATGTTAAACATATTCAGCCTTTACGCAAAATTAGGTGTATAATTAAGGAAGTACAATCTCTTGATAATTATTGAGTAATTGCACTAAACAATTGTTAAATATTGTTATAAAAAGAAAGATATGTTTTAATAGTCTGTTTACTAATGAAATGCTCTTTGCAATGTAAAAATTACTTTATCTGCCTCTCAAGCATATAAAATACGTCACTTGTACCAAAATGACTTCATATTGAAAAGTTCCTTGCGACAAGTGATTTGTTTATAACCTGCTTTTCGAGATTTTACTTAGCTACTATTGTTAATGAATTGGTACGTTTTCATGTTGTTTATTATGGAAAGATACATAATAAAACGTTCTCTCAATTCTTTTATTTTGCTTGCATTCATTAAGAAATATTTTTTAATCAGATGAAATGAGAGAATGGTGATAACGAACAGTGAACGATCTCAAAAATTTATTCTTAAATGCATCTTCATTTTTTTTCTTAATAATCATAAAGGAAAAACAAAAAAGTATTATTAACTTAGCGTTCAATCACCATTAGTCAATTCATGAGGATTTTTTTAGAAGGAATTGTCCTGATTAAAAAACATGAAATCTTCAAAATTTCATATTAGTTGAATCAGAAACATTTACATTATCATCTTTCTTGAGGACATAAAGTTCATTAACCTCCTCAAGAGTGTTGGGCAATTCTTTCCCAGTTGTTTTGGGTAACCATATTATCAAAATAGTCACCAATACTGACAAAATTCCAAACACCACTCCTGGTCCCCAGGGGATATGAGTTCCCTGAAATTAAAAGTTAATTAAGCTGAGATTTCTGAAATATGTTATATAAATGTCTGTTTGCAGTTTTTTTTAAATGATCAACTTCACAAAATAAGGTGAAAAAAAATCTTACTTGTATTCTTAAAAGAATACCAACAGGCCTTGTTTATTTAATTTTTCACATTTAATCAAAATAGAGTTGAAGTACGTTTAGCAAAAACTGCAAAATTATTAAAACCTTTTGTAATAACAAAAGGGAAAGCTGTTCTACATATTAAAATAAAACATAAATCAAAAGTTAATAATTTTATAAGGAAGTCAATAACATATTAATTTTTTTATGCATTAAACTTTTCTTCAATATTAAAATACAGAAGTAAACTACTTAATAAAACAAACTTAGAATATTTACAATCATACTTTCGTGCGGAATAATTGAATTGTTCCTTTGTAATGTGTTCAGGTAAAACATTTATATAGACCAAACAGACCACTCACAAAAAGTGCTGCGTATGGTGATATTATCCCTCCTACTCTGGCAAAACACGAGGCAAGTCCTATACCCAGAGCTCTAAAAGAAATGTAACAAACTAGTCGTAATAATAACTTTAATTACAATAAAAAAGAGTACAGGCTGCTTTGTAAAAGACACGAGTTGTGTAAAGACGCTGAATCAGAACATATTAGTAAGAAAGACTAATAATGATGAAAAAAAATTGCTCAATATGAAACTTCCTCACCCTGATTTTAAGTACTTATGATAACTTCTTTTGCATATGTTAAGAGATTTTTGTAATAATATTTAACTGAATACCATACAGAACAAAGTTTATCATCTGACTTCGGCCTGAAAGGCCAGGACGAATTCATTACTTAAAGAATGAGATTTGGACTTGCAAGGATTATCCATTCATATTTACTGAGCGGTTAACATTAACCTGAATGCAAATTTTGCGACTGTTTTATAAATACAATCAATATACTTCTAGAATGTTTTGATTTTAAATCTGTTCGAAATAAACTTTTTTAATGGTGTGAATTACGACAATAAATGATCTTTTTACAAGTTTAAATCCTATTGTAATTTGACAATACTTGCAAGAAACTAATTTCTGCAATTAAGTTTAAATAGGACATTTTTATTAGCATTTTTTTTTAATTATCAAGTTAACTGATTTTATTTTCAAATTCCAAGTATGTCGAAAACGGTTTCCCATGTCAAGAATCAAGGGACTGGCATGCTGGTTTTCAAAAAGTTTCATTTAGGGCCACCAGAGAAACTAAACCAAAAAACTTTTAAAACTGTTCATACATTTTTAAATTCACACCTCTGAAATATGGCTGAAATTGCAGCGTAAATGTACAATAATCATTCAAATCAATGAAACCGACACCAGTTTTCTTATAATGCTTACCTTAGATTTGTGGGGTACACCTCCTTTGTAACGTTACCTTAGATACGTGGGGTACACTTCCTATGTAACGTTACCTTAGATAAGTAGGGTGCACTTCCTCTGTAACGTTACCTTAGATAAGTGGGGTGCACTTCCTCTGTAACGTTACCTTAGATAAGTGGGGTACACCTCCTTTGTAACGTTACCTTAGATACGTGGGGTACACTTCCTATGTAACGTTACCTTAGATAAGTGGGGTGCACTTCCTCTGTAACGTTACCTTAGATAAGTGTGGTGCACTTCCTCTGTAACGTTACCTTAGATAAGTGGGGTACACCTTCTCTGTAACGTTACCTTAGATAAGTGGGGTACACCTCCTCTGTAACGTTAAATTAGATAATAGGGGTACACTTCCTCTGTAACGTTACCTTAAATTAGTGGGGTACACTTCCTCTGTAACGTTACCTTAGATTAGTGGGGTATACTTCCTCTGTAACGTTTCCTTAGATTAGTGGGGTAGACTTCCTCTGTAACGTTACCTTAGATAAGTGGGGTGCACTTCCTTTGTAACGTTACCTTAGATAAGTGGGGTAGACTTCCTCTGTAACGTTACGTTAGATTCGTGGGGTACACTTCCTCTGTAACGTTACCTTAGATTAGTGGGGTGCACTACCTCTGTAACGTTACCTTAGATTAGTGGGGTATACTTCCTCTGTAACGTTACCTTAGATAAGTGGGATACACTTCCTCTGTAATGTTTCCTTAGATTAGTAGGGTACACTTCCTAAATTCTAAATAGTTTGTTCTTTCATTGAATTTCTTAAATGTAGGTTATTTTATAAATATGTTTTCTTTTATAACTTTATTTATGGAATATACGTAAATTTTTTAAATGATAAAAGAAACACGAATCATCATCTTAATTTAAAAATTTAAAAGAATTTTCGGTCGGAGACTGTGTGTGTACATGCTCGACAACAGCCCATTGTTCCCTTCAGGTACAAAACCGTCTCAATTCACATAGAATATACAAAACATACACAGTGACAGGTGTCTTCGTGGCACGTGTCTCCACCTGAAATGGCACGTGAGGGCAGGTGTCCCTAATTACAGAGGCCGACCATAGTGACTTTTTCAAAAGCGTTTTTTTTTGGAGGGGGGCTTCTCAAGGAAAAAATGAAAAGCAACCCACCAACCCCCAATAAAAAAAATAATAATTTAATAAATTAAAAAACAATATTCACTATTCATAGTAAAATAATAGTATGATAATACTCAGCCCCCAGCCAATTCGATGAATGATTCTATATCTGACCAGTTTATATTAATATATTAATTCATATTGAAACAAAATCTTTATCACTTTCTAAACTTGTATTTAAAAACTTGAAACACTAAAAATGTAATTTTGACAAACCAACTGAAGATTTTTTTTCCTGACGGATTACCCCGGTATATAAGAAATACCAACCTCTGGTATCTAACATAAATGCCTGTTAAGGTACCTTGATGTCTTGTGAATACATGTGAATACATGTAATTATGTAAAACTAATTCTTCATTGTCAATTGAAAAATATTGGGAAAAAAAATAATTATTTTATTGAGGAACGTCTCACCTGTCCTTAATCAGTAATCGTAACTAGACATATTTCTTTATTTACTTTTTAATCGATCTTTTTAGTAAACCTTTCCTGTAAATAATTTCATTAAATGTACCCTTCCTTAGCTCTTCCATTTTTTCAAAGGAACATTCATCATGGACAGCTTCCAGAAAGTAGGATCGGAAATGATTGATTTCTACATAACTGCATGCACTTACTTTTTTTCTATTCCACTTCACGCATTTTATACGAGTTTAACAAAACTTATGTGATAAATCAAATTCAAAATTAAATTAAATAAAATTCAGTTAAATAAAATCAAATTAAATTGAATTGCGTTCACGGTGTTGAAATATTAAATTAATCACACAGAAATACACATCTAGTTATTTTAACTGTTTGAAGTTAATTATTTTGATACAGCATGTAAACACTTTTGAAATATTTCTATAATTGGTAAAAATATGGTAACATAATCAAATATTTAACTTTTTGTAAAATAAAAGGTAGGTGGGTTAGTATTGAGATATACTTTCAAAGTTTCCCTGCCTGGGAAACATGGGGAAAACTAGACATTGGTGGCTTCCATGTCGGGAATCTATATGGAAACCACTGAGGCATGTTTCCATGGTTTCCTATTTTGGGAAACTTACGGAAAACCACAGGTTGACTGTTTCCATGTCGGGAATCTACATGGAAACCACTAAGACATGTTTCCACGTTTTCCTATCTTGGAAAACTTACGGGAAACCACACGTTGATTGTTTCCATGTCGGGAATCTATGTAGAAACTACCGGGGTATGTTTCCATGGTTTCCTACCTTGGGAAACTTACGGGAAACCACAGGTTGATTGTTTCCATGTCGGGAATCTATGTGGAAACCACAATGTGGTTTCCATAAAATGGAAACTATATGGAAATTACTGATGTCACGATTCCCATATGTTTCCATCGGGTTTCCAAATTTGGGAAACCTGGCTTTTCGTCCTGTGACATGTTTTAGTATTTTCCATTTAATATATAATTTTGAATGTATACATATTTTTTCAAGTTTAATGTGAATTTTTGATGTACATATCACACAGAATTGAAGATGGGTATGTTTTCATGAAGCGCGAACACACCACATGAAATTTGTCTAAGTGACAAGATTTTGTATTTTTTCTGGAACATTGCAATGGAATATATTCAATACGAAGTATTGATACATTTTTTTTAGGAAGTGTGCAAAGCATGGTTTAAAATATAATTATACTTTCAACAGAAATATATGAACTAGGATCAGCTTGAATGCTCTTATTTATCTCCAGACTATTTCAATCTTCAATATTACACTGTAATATTGACTTAAGAATATGTTTGCTGATTACAAACCTTCTTTTTAAATATATCATGAGATAATCAAAACTATTATAGTATCAATGAAGCACCAGTAATTAAGTTATATGCATTGCTAAAAATACAGGAAAATTAAGGACCCTCTCTACGCTGCACACTAATTTCAGGGTACTTGCGTGTAGTTAGACTGACCCACCATTTGACATAAAACAGAATAAATTGTAATCTGCACTGTATAACGAAATCTTAAATAAACCCTTGTATACTAAACATTATGTTAGACCAAGATAGAGTAATTGATAACTTTATTTGCATGTATTTTCTCCATTTGAATAATCAAAAGCAATTTTTCTTTTTCATTACTTCACCGTCTTCAAAGATTTTTCCTGGATAAAGAAGGCACGCTCCATATATTAGAAAAGGATTAGTTTATTTCAAAATGGCCTCCTTTACCCAATATAATTTTCTCAAAGTCCAAAAAACATTTTTCATCAGTGTATAGAGGGTTCTTAATGCAAGAGAGAAAAAATGTGCATGAGGAATAAAAATTGGCATACTTTTTTCATGCTTTACTTGTTTTACTTGAAACGAGCAACTTTGGAACATACTGGTATATAATATTTAAATAACATATCATGACAATGAAGTATTTCTTAATGCAAAAAAAGGTGTAAAAATGTCCTTTGCCTTTGAAGTTTAAAAGAATAATTCACTTTAAAAAAATCTGCTTAAAGTAATGAAAAAATATATAAATAGCTTGTTTTTTTCTAGAATGGGATCAGTCGTTATTTCCTTTTTTCCTTTTTTTCTTTTTTTTTTTTGTTTTGTTTAAAAAACAATAACCTACATTCCATCGATTAGTATGTTTATTTTTATTTCCGAAAAAACCTGTGTCTGTTTCATGTTTCCTCCTTGAAAAATATTTTTTATTTTCAATATCATTCTATAACTGTAACTTCAATGCTTTTATTTCCTACCAATTAGACACCGTGTCACAAATGCAGGAAGTTATAACTCTTTTGATATTTTTTCCAACATGTTAGGGGTTTTATTTAAAATTTTAAACATTAATATTTCAAAGATTGCACAGAAAATTCGTGGGCGTATTTTTAAAATTTTATAGTTTTATTTGAAACTAGCATAAGATCGAAATTGGGTAGAAATGATTTCACATTTTTTCAGAATGGAGTGTCATAAATGTTTTAATTTTTTTATGATTCATTGCAAACTTATAGTTATGATATGCGAATAACGGATGACTTAAATTGCTTTTAATAAACAATACTTTTAATAGTGAATGTCTTGTCATCATCCCTAACGTTACACAAAAAACAAAAAAAAAATATTCTTGACGTCGAATTTGAGGGCTATTACACTGATTTATATTTCAAGTTATGAATAATTGTTTTGCATCATTTTAAAAGAAATATATTCTAAACAAACGGTGGAAGATCAGTAGTTCTTATATTAAAGGCATATAAACATTGCAGTTGTTAATTACAACACAATTTAGGTTGTATTATGAAAAACGCCGGGTTGAAATATGAAGATGCTAGAGAAAAAAAGATGAATCGTTTCTGTATGACTGTATTGATGCAGGTATTTTTGTAAGTGAACTGACGAGTACTTTCTGAAATTTCTTCATTTTTTTTTAAATTCTTATACTGATCAGAGAGACAAAGACAAAGATATATTGCACACAACTTTTTAGAAACTCATTATGTAGACCTTCCTTTTA